CCCTAAGTCTATCCCCATGATCCTCTGTCTTCTTCCTCTCTTTTGTTCAGCTTCATTATTTTCCCTGATTCTATCCTCTATATGACTTATTTGTTCCTCTGCTTCTTCCACCCTTGTCATTACATCCAGTGCGTTTCAAATATCAGTCATTGCACTTTTCATTCCTGCCTGATTGTTTTTTAACTGTTTTGTTTCTCTGGTAAAGACCTCCCAGATGTCTTCCCTTCTTTTCTCAAGCCCAGCAAGTATCCTCAGATTATTGCTTTAAGTTCTCCATGAGTATATTAATTAGATCTGTGTGAATTAGATCTCTGGCTGTGATTTTACTCTTGTTGTTGTTGTTGTTGTTGTTGTTGTTGTTGTTGTTGTTTTGAATTGTATTTATTTATTTTTAGAGAATGAGAGAGTGAGACAGGGGATGGCTGGAGAGACAGGGAGAGTGAAAATCCCAAGCAGGCTTCTTGCCTAATCACAGAACCCGATATGGGCCTCAATCTCATGATCGGTGAGATCATGAACTAAGCCAAAAATCAAGAATTGGATACTCAACCATCTGAGGCGCTCTGGCTGTAATTTTATCTTGTTCTTCCTTTAGGGAAGAATTCCTCCATGTGGGCATTTTGTTTAGGTCTCTGTCTTCTTCTGTATATTAGAGAAGCCCATCAAATTTTCTTTTCCTGACTGTAATGGCTTTATCAAGGAGAAGTCATATAGTGTCCATGGCCTGGTGCTTCAGGGAGTGTCTGTTGTGTGTACTGTGTGTACTCTACTGCTGTGATTTGCTGCTCTATCCTTCAGGCCAGTTGCTTGCAGACGTTATCCTTGCCCACAGTGGGCACTGTTTGGTCCTTGGCCTGAATGTGGCAAATTTTAACTAGGTGTTTCAGGCCTGCTTGTTAAATGAGACTCAGGCCTGCTTGTTAAATTATTACTATTTTTTCCAACGTTTATTTATTTTTGGGACAGAGAGAGACAGAGCATGAACGGGCGAGGGGCAGAGAGAGAGGGAGACACAGAATGGGAAACAGGCTCCAGGCTCTGAGCCACCAGGCCAGAGCCCGACGCGGGGCTCGAACTCACGGACCGCAAGATCGTGACCTGGCTGAAGTCGGACGCTTTACCGACTGCGCCACCCAGGCGCCCCAGGCCTGCTTGTTAAATGAGACCTGATGCTACTTCCACTAGAACTGAATGCTTGCAGAACTCTCTGGTCAGGAGATGTGGTGTGTGGGTGGGTTTCTGCTGGTCATCTTTCGAATGGGCCCACAGCCGTGGGACTTAAGCCCACGTGGCCCAGAAGGGCAGTGCTGGCAGAGTGCAGGTGGGTGGGACTTGGTGTATGCAGGTTAGGAAACCAGTGTTCGCCCTGTGCTGTTTACTGGAGCTGGATTTTGCTGAGGGGCAGTGGAGGAAAATGGCACCAGCCAACCCCTTTGATCCTGGAGAGGGGTCTCCATGCTTACTGCTCTCAGGGGAGCGCTCCCAGAAGGCTGAATAATCCCCCATGCATCCAAGGCAGTTTACAGAGAGCCGTTTTCACTCTGTCTGTCTCTGGGATGTTTGCTTGCCAGGAGCAGTGCTTTGGGCTCTATCCCAGCCCAGTATGCTGACGTTTACAACTCAAAAATTTAGGGACATGCTGTGGCAGGGGCCTGTGCTGATTACCTGGGATAGGGTCTCTCCATCCTGAGGCTGATGCGTGTTTGACCGAGAGGGGCGGCTGCCCCAGAGCACGGGCCTTGGGACTTGGGCAAGCAGGCTAGGCAGCCAGTGTCAGCTTGAGCCACCCTCAGCAGCTCTTCTGCATCTATGCCAAGGGGCATGGGAGGGAAATGGTGCAGCTGGTTCTTTTGTTCCCAGGGAGGCATCTCTGCTAACCCACTTCTCACAGATGCACTCCAAGAAGAGTGAACAGTGTGTGCCCTGTGGTCCCTAGGTGTTCTTCAGATCGTGCCTTCTGACTCCAGGTTGCTTGCCTGCCTTCTCTAGAGGAGTAGGGCAGACGCTCAGGGCTGCATCCCAGTGAAACCCACCAACATTTAAAATCTAGTCTCTGAGCCCTGTTGGTTGCAAAAGCTGCCAGGTGTCAGGCCCTCTCATTTCTCCAGCGAATGGCTTTGGGGAAGTGTTTTCCTAGTGCAATCCCCTGTGCTCTCCTCCCTCCCTCCTTCCTTCCCTCCCTCTCTCTGTCTCTCTCTGTCTCTCTCTCTCTCTCTGTCTCTCTCTGTCTCTCATCTCTCAGGGATCCCAGCCCTCTGCAGCCCCCCAATCTGTTTCTTGCCCAAACCCCATCTCTGCACTTCCTGCTTCCCTTGATGTGACATCTTCTCTCCCTCTAGTTGTGCAGTTTGTTCTGTTGAACCCAGGTTGATTTGATGGGTATTCAGAGTGATTGGATAGTTATTTAGTCGTGTTTAAGGGAAGAAATGAGCCTAGGATCCCCCTACTCTGCCAGTATCTTAGCTCCTCCCCTCCCCTAGTCCAAAGAAACTCAGGAGGTGTTTCTCTGCAGTGAGCCAAGCAATCTAAAGGCTTAAATGAATGGAGTTCCAGGGGCTCCGATGCCAAGGAGTCCACACACTGAAGCCACCTACCAACGTGTTTCTTTTGCTGGAAACTGTACATCCACAAGAAGGCCATTAGACTCAGGTGGCTCCAGTGCTTTAGCCACCTACACCTCACTTCAAGCAAATTCTTGTAAATGCCTCAAGGGTCAGAATTCAAAACCCAAGGGTACCCTGTCTCTAACAGGCAACTAGGCTTTCCCATATAAGATAGTTTCTGAAGCTATAGCCAGTCATGTAACGTGTTTCCTTTTCTTCTCATTTTGGTCTACAAAAGCCTTTCCCCTAGTTGGGTTTGGGGCTGCCTGATTGGATTTGGTGTTTGCTCAAACAGGCACTTCTAAATTTTAATGTACCTCACTTTATTTAAACAAAACTAATAAAAGTAATAACCCACAGGACTCACATTTACTCATGGTGCACGTAATAATGAGGGCTGCCACACAGCCCTGTGTAATATTACATAAAATGCCCTCCTCTTTTTTTATTTTAATTTTAAAAATTATTTATTTATTTCAGGAGAGACAGAGTGTGAGAATGAGAGGGGCAGAGAGAGGGAGACACAGAATCTGAAGCAAGCTCCCGTCTCTGAGTTGTCAGCACAGAGCCCGATACAGGGCTCGAACTCATGAACTGTGAGATTATGACCTGTGCCGAAGTAGGACACTTAACCCATTGAGGCACCCAGGCACCCCTCCAATGTCCTTTTCTCACAAAATCACCTCTTGTTGTTTCCATCACACCTGCCACATTCTAACGTACAATAGAACTTAGTATTCCTGCTTCATGTTTCCTGTGTTTTTCTTGAACGTGATAAAAGGCACATGAAGACGGGACTGCTTCTCTTGTAACTGAATTTTCCCATGCATCTACCAAAAGTTCTTGCAAACACATTATGTGCTCAATGCACATTTTTTAGAACAGTGAATAAACATGACATTTGAATTTACCTCTCATTTTAACTATTCTGGGTACCCTAAATGTCCTCTTTAAGTCTCCAAATTAGTGTGAAAATTAGTAAATGAAATCTTACTAGAATGGATTCAGGAGGCCCTGGAGGGAGACCTCTCACACAGACATGACATGCATAAAGAGCAGGAGGAGGGGAGATAACTTTTGTCTTGACAAGGGAGGACACATTCCCAGTAGGAAATTAATCTCCTGCCTTTCACAAAAAGAAGGATGATCTCTCCTTGCCCCACTAAGGAAACACTGACCATGGCATGCAGCCAGTGAAAACCCGCCACAACCTCAAACTTTTGTTCTTCAGTGAACTTTTGTTGAAAGCAACTCTCCCCAATCTCCACCTTAAACCTAATAAACCCAGACTTTTGTGGTGCCTAAGTGGCTCACTTGGTTGAGTTTCCAACTTCAGCTCAGGCCATTTTTTTATGGTTCATGAGTTCAAGCCCCACATTGAGCTACCTGGTGTCTCCTGGAGCCTGCTCTGGATCCAATGTGCCCGCCCCTCTCCCACTTGCTCTCCCTCTCTAAAAAATAAATAAGCATTTGTGAAAGTAGCTCTGGACTTTTATTTTTTTTTAAATGCTGACTTTCCCTCTGTCTCTTGAACCTTGCCTGTGGATTGCCATGGTGTGGTTATCCTCAGTTGAAATTCCTTTGTCATTCCTGAATAAATTCAGTTTGCTAGTAAAGTAACTGGCTATTTATTTTTAAGCTGGACAGTAGTATTGTTCAATGCTTGTAGGAATGAAAACGTCACATTCTTGAGATAAAACCCTCACAAAAACCAAGTATTGGTTTAGCACAGTCACATGCTCCATTTGGTTCTATCTTTTCTCAGACTTACAGCCTGCTTCTAAAAGTTCTGTTAGTTTGTAACTGTTTTTTACTCTTTACTGATGTGTAGGGAGGTGGAATGTTGGTTTGCCCATAGGTATTTCTGGCACTGTCTTAAACCACTAGATAAACGTTGTGAACTGCTTTCTGAAATGGGCATTTCACATCTGATTTTCTAGGATACTTTCAATTCCTACTGCCAGTGCCTGAAGAAATGAGAATCACTTCCCAGCAAGGAGATGAGGTCATTGGGTTCAGATAATCCTTTACTTCAGGCTTCAGATTCTCCCCTTGCACACACGCTCCAATGAAATGGCAACATGTTTGGTACCAAATATAGCATCCGTTAAGTTGCTTTCTGTTTGGGATCGAAGTCAATCTCCTGACAGGAACCGAGTATATCTGGGAATGTGGAGTAAGTAATATATGGATAAAAATGTTCCTCAAAAGATGGGCAGACACGGGGCGCCTGTGTGGCTCAGTCGGTTGGGGGTCCAACTTTGGCTCAGGGCATGATCTCGCGGTTCCTGGGTTCGAGCCCCACTCAGGCTCTGTGCTGACAGCTCAGAGCCTGGAGCCTGCTTCGGATTCTGTGTCTCCATCTCTCTGCCCCTTCTCCATTCACACTCTGGCTCTCTCTCAAACGTAAATATTAAATTAAATTAAAAAAAAAAAAACAAAAAAGATGGGACAACAATCACGATATGGGCATATGAAGTTTTGTGTGGAACCAGAGGCTGACGTTGTCAGTTTACCTAATTCAGGGTGGCCTACCATCCCTGTCACGGACTTGTATAGGGTGTGACAAAGGGAACCACATGCCCCAAATGGAGTCACTTCTGCTGGGTCATGTCACCAAAGCAGGGCACAATACCTAAGCTCATACAACTTCAGCACTACCCAGAAATATAGTTTCCACTGGTCAGTGAGGAATTTTGTGGTCAGCACCAAAAGGGTAATCGGCCACACGAATAGGTCCTCTGCGTCGCCCAAAGATGAGGTATTCCGCTAATAAGACCTTTTTGTCCCATAACAAAGTGACCTCGCCTGACATAATCCTTTTTCTGTTTATGAACTTCTTGTTCTACCTTTAAAAACCTTACCCTTTCTCTAGCTCTTTGTTGCTTCCCTTAACTTGCTAGATGTGATGCTGCCCAATGCACAAATGAGTCACTGATCCTGAAGACCTTCAAAATACACTGGGCTGAATTTTTATGATAACGGGGACTTTTGTATTGTTCCCGACCAATTGCAAAACTGACTCTAACGCTACAGGCTGCAAGCATTTGAAGAGCAACATCTTTCCAGCAGTGCACGGCCTCCTTTGATTTCTTAAGTGCTGGACACATTTGAATGATGTGTCATTTACCTCAGGAAGAGGAAGTGGGAGCAACTAAGCTACTAGTTTTAGGCTTTGGACTTTAAAAACCAACAAAGCCGCTCCCTCTGGTAGGAGCAGCACTTTGCAGCAACTCTCGGGGACAGTTGGCCGAACTCTGGAAGTCCCTGGGGCCGAACCCCCTTCGGTGGCCGCTGTAACTCTGAGATCTATGGTACCCGGAAAAGCGTGGGGATACAGGACGCAGGCAGCAGCCAATGACGGAGCAGGACGAGGCATTTGTGGGCATGCGTGGCGCGTGGGGGTGGGATTTCCGGCCTCTTCATGGCGAACGATTTTGGCCTCAGGTTTGTTTACCCTCAGAGGTTGGAGAGCCCACCTTTGGATCTTGGTGACAAAGTGACACCTAGCGAAGGAAGGCGCTGTCCTTTCGCACAGACTGGGACCCTTGAGTGCCCGACGCCGTCCGGGCAGCTCCGCGCTCGCTGGACCTACAGAGTCCCATGGCGGCGGCCTCGACTAGGAACCCGGCTGAGGTAAACGCGCCCCCCAGGCCCACCCGCCCCGCCCCAGACCCCCCAGGCCCACCCGC